AGAACAGGTTCAAGTCCTCAAGTATACAGTATGCTCCAAGTGGGATGAAGAAAGAAGGTGTACACACAGCTTTGGATAAACAAACCAAAGAGCAGAGTTTTTTTGATGTGGGTGTGTTCAGATACTGAGCCGATCTGTCCCCACCTGTTTACAGATAGATGGAAGTAGTTTGGAAATGTTTTACTTTTTTTTTTTTTTAATCTTCCTGGGAATGGAATGGAGTATACACACTTTTTTGTGATGAAGCCTGTGGGGCTGGGGCTTTGTTAAGGTACAGTATGTTCTATCACATTGATTTTTGGGAGTGGGTCAGGTACAAGTGAGCGTGAGAGACAAGGTGTAAAAGAGAGACAAAATGTAACTAAATACTAAACTATAAATTATACCATGAAGGAAAAATGTGTAAAGTTAATGGCCTTTAGCTAGAGGCTCACATCGTTAATACTGATGTCTGAAACTCATTGTTGTAATTGTCTGAACCAGAATCACAAGTGCCACAAAACCTGTATCCATTGACAGTCCACTGTATTCTATTCAGTCTGTGGAGTGTCTTCAAACTCAGCACTCACAGTGGAATAATGACCAAGACTTTCTATTTTCTAGGTAAGCAGAAAGTGTGGAGCATTGCTTTACTGCACACTGCAGTAGAGGAATCCGTGTGCTGGGTATTACTCAGACTTGTTAGACCTGTCTCTTTGATACTCACTGCCTCTCCATTGGTTGGTGGAGCTCTTTTCAGAACAGGCCCCTCTCCTACAACCTGCACTCTTGTACTACACTCTCGAGTGTGAGTGTTTTTATTATTATTTAAATATCACCAAAGCAATACCACTGGCCGATATGTCAAACGTGTATTGACGGCAGAGTGACTGTGTGTCAAGTGAGACATAAATCTCACAGCACGAGGACCTGACACTTTTCTCAGTGGCAGCCAGGGAAGGACATCCAGGTAAAACATGACTTTACAAGTATTACTCTCTTCATGCTTTTAAATGTGATCATGTGTATACCTCTGTGTACATTATAGTTCACTGTGTCCACACTTTTTTAATTTTGTTTGCTAATGATGTACTTTGTGATCTACTGGTAGACCCCAAACCACATATTGGGCAGCTCTGCTTTAGGGCATACATGTAAATAACTCCCTCCCTCAAAGCTTTACTTAAAATAAGATTCTCATTGACAGTGGATTGATTTAAACTGTAGGAAATACTCATAATACATTTATGTACCAGTGAAAATATTGACTTGACTCCTGTATAAAGTTTTATGTAGAACAAATTCTATATTAGTTCAACATCTCAGTTTCGGAGTAACAGGTAACACAAGCTGATGACAGCATTTGATTATGCAGTGTCTAATATATAGGACGTTATAGAAATAGGACAACAAATACACTTATTACCTCATATGACAGCTATACCTTCAAACATTAGACACAAGGGTTAGGTTTTTGATAAATTATATTTGGAAAACAAACTTTCTTTCAGCCATAAAAGTTTCAGTCAGTACCCAATGCTGTTTGCAATAAATCTGATCTGATTTTACACTACAGCCTTCCAGCTTAAAAAATAAAACTGCGGAGAAGCAGAAATATTCTATGGTTCTTTTTGAGTGATTTAAAAGACTGTGATGAGAGTTAGCTTTTAAGGCCTGCACAAAGAATCCTGTTATTCTGCCTGCCAAGCGTGTTTGTGAACGTGCCAACTTACCTGGTCCGTGGTACTGCTTCAGTTTGTTTTTCTATACAAATTCAGCTGTTTTTCTTGCCTGACATGTTCTCGTATTACTGGCGTTACAGTTCCTTGTTTTGCCACTGGCCTGTCAAATCTCGTCCAACACATTTCATCACACCAACACAATGAAGGCAAAATGCAATTTTATACAAAAGGCAACTCAACTGAATCCAAATATTCTTGTTGTTTTTGCAGATACTGTAAAACGAGACCTTCACCCTTATCTGAGTTTGTTTGCGGGGAAATCCAAGGACCACTTTTCACAAATATGATGTAAGAAATCTGACGATTCACTGCGACAGATACTCAAGAAAGTTGCATTGTTTTAGAATATACAGGGTCGGGATTGTGTGGCTTTCAAGTGCTCTTGGCACACAAAGCTTAAAATGTATTATAAGGCATTAGGGCATCACTTTTTAAAACTATAAAACTTTACATAAACAAAGGCAAAATATTAGATTTTTAACAATACACTAGGGCTACTAACAGTTCTGACTGACCACTGGGAAATTCTGGTATTTAGCCTACAAGGGGATACATACCTGTAACGAGGGTCTTTGGTATGCTTGTACAGCAGTTGTTTGGTTTCCCCAATGTAGAGATCAGGGCAGTCTTCACTGCACTGTACTGCATATACAACGTTGCTCTGTTTGTGGTGAGGTATTTTGACCTTTGATTAAACCAGTCTTTGTCTGACTGAGGTATTGTCATTCCTTATGTTGCCGGAACCTCCGAAAAACTTAGGAGAATTTTTTACTAGCACCAAACTCCTGTACATTTTAAACCCACCAACACCCTACAGTGCAGTCACTCAACAGAGGAGGTGGTTTGAGACCTTTCATTCACCTGTAACGTCGCTCTGAGTCCAAATAATTTCAACCCTCTCTCTGAAGAAAGACCACAGTTTCATTTCAAAGGACACCCAGCCAAAAGTGTCGCTCAGGTGAAACTATTAGTCCATAGCTATGGTACCACTCCCCATTCACACCTCCAAACTGGTGACTTTACACTCTGCCCTCCTTTGAATACGATGGGTTTCACCACACCTCCATCCCCCCTTTCTGCAATGACCCTCGTTACAGGTATGTAGCCCTCTTAAGGCTATATACCAGAATTTCCCAGTGGTCAGTCAAAACTGAAGAAGCCTCTTGGATGAGAGGTGAAAGGTCTTCAAAAAAAAAAAAAAAAAAAACCTACTTTGTCCAGTTGCTTTTTGTGTATTTTTTTGGATTAGTATAGTAGTTACAAGACGGACAGAAATAGAAACTAGACTTGAAATAAATTTGAATATTCCACAACTATTTAAAATGATTTCCATCACCCGTTCACACTTCAGAATAACACTCTTCAATGTTTGTGTGTGATTCCAGTGGCATCCCTGACAGAGCTAGGAGAGTGTCCTCCTTCTGCTCTATTCTCTTTGTTGTCACCACTGTGACCTTCTTATCTTCAAGGTGAATGTCATGACTCGCAAATCTTCAGAACTGAACACATCATCAACATTTATTGACAGAAAATTGGCATTGAAATGAGTGTGTTACACTTTCACACTGTTCTCAAATTCAGGTACTTGTTTAGCCTTAATCTTTGGGACATATGGCCAGTGCCGAGTAAGGAAGCAACAAGATGGCTGCACAAAAACCAACTTGACTCGGGGTGAGAAATCAGTTTTCTTGTATGAGGCTGCATAACTTCCGATGTTGCATTTTGTTTGAAGGTTCTGTCTGCTTTAGTACAAATTCTAAATACCTGGAACTGCAGTGTTTGAAACTGTGTAATTGTCCAATTGGATACTGATCTAATTGTCAGCATTAAGAAATAAATCCCTTGAGGTTAGTGTTTGTTAGACATACCAACCAAACAACCCATGTTGTAGGATATTAACAATAACTTCTGCATGCTACTTTCATTTCAGAACCAGACCAGATGTTTTGACAAACACACCATGGAATGCTCCTATTATTTGGGAAGGGGTGTTTGACCCTTATGTTTCTGACCAGTTCCACATACGACTCAATTCTTCTGTTGCACTCACTGTTTTTGCTGTGGGCAGGTTTGTGTTCTTTTTTTGGTTTCACAATGCCAAAGTTTAAAATAAAAAAAGTCTGCTATGTTTGATGAAATTTTCAATAAGGTTAGAAAAAAACAAGTCAGTTTGTGTGAAGTTTTTTTTTATATAAATCCATAAGTGACCCCCATGTCATTTGTCTCTCTCTCTGTAGATACCTGGATGTTTAACTCAAGACTTTTCTCGTCTCTGCGGAAAGACACTTTATGTTGGGATTACGAGTCACTTACTATGTGTTCACTGATAACCCAGAAAAAGTCCCAGAACTAGAGCTGGGACCACAGCGAAACATGAAAGTTATTGAGGTTGCGAAGTACACCAGGTGGCAGGACATCTCCATGATGCGCATGCGGACAATATCAGTTACGATCGAATCTGAGATTCGTCACAGCTTTCAGTACGTCTTCTGCTTTGACGTGGACCAGGAGTTCAAAGGACGTTTTGGCTCAGAGGCTCTGGGGGATTCTGTGGCTTTGCTTCACGCTCACTATTACAATCTTCCAAAGCACAGGTTCACTTACGACAGAAACCCAAAATCCAAAGCGTTCATGTACACTGGAGACTTCTATTACCACGCTGCGATCTTCGGAGGCCGTTGGAAAAATGTGAAAAATTTAACGGATGAATGTTTGGAGAACATCATGGAAGATAAATTAAATCAGGTGGAGGCCCTGTGGCACGACGAGAGTCACCTTAATAAATACTTTTGGCTGCACAAACCCACCAAGCTGCTCTCACCGGAGTACTGCTGGGACGAGACTCTACCTGCCAAGGACATACTCATCATCCGTATGTTGTGGGCAGAAAAATATTACGAAACCCTTCGTGATAAAAACAATGCTTAATAACAACTCTTTTTTTTCTTACTGTTGTATTAACACTTTTATTCGTATATTTATTTTGAACTGCTAACCCTTATACACTATAAAACCCTATACGTATGCACAGTAACTGTGATCCTGATAAGTGACATTTGACCATTATTGATCTAATCTTTTGATTTGAGTAGTAATATTCTTTGACAAACTCCTTTTTAATTGTTTTAATAGCCAGTGTAATCTCGTTTGACGTTTATCTGAACCAGTTTTGGAGTGCTGTGCTCTTAAAGACCTACAACAAACTGCACGCACACACTCAAAACAAAAGACTTATTGTGTCACGTTGCTGTAATATGACACTGTGTGGATCATAAAACACAGACAGCGCAGACAAAGAGAGCAGTTACTCTAAAGCAGAGTGTGGCTCAACAAAAGCTAGATACATTGACGCATTAAAAAAAACATGCTCTTCTTTCTCACCGATACAGTATATTACGAGTATAAATAATTGAAAACATGCCTTACAAACCTTACTTTGTGTACATCCGAGGTCTTCCACATCTGGCCCATGACCCCCAGGCGGTCCAAAGCGGTACTGCAGGGTGATGCCTAAATTTCAGAAGGTGTGAATGTGGACTTTGGTTTATAGTTTCTAAGGTTTTTATAAATATTAACACAGCAACCCTACTCACTGTATACACTGTCATGTTGAAAAATAAAAATAAACACATTATTATACAGTTTATGAAACAGTGTTATTGTCACAGGCTTAATAGTGATTGCAATTGATCAGTTCAATATGAAATGTAGAAATTGTGCCACAATATTATTCATTCACTGAGTCACATCAAGCAATTTCCAACCAGATTGACATCACAGTTTAACTTTTTATTTTTTTTAACAGAAAAAAACACATAATTGTCATTACATTGAATTAAGATTTTGATGTGCAGATTTCAAAATGCATTGTGTATTACTTTTGAAATTATATTATTTAGTAATAATAAAAAAATAAAGACCACCACAGAATTTAAAAGTAATTTCATGAAATGTCCTTCATAAACAAAATACATTTTATAGTGATTTTTTCATGTGAAGCGTAATGTGTAAGAACAAAAATGAAAGACATATTGAGCTTGATCGTGCCATTTTTATTCCAAGTTCTTTATTCTACCAAACAGTGTTTAGTGTAAGAAATAATATTTAAAAAATATCTAGTAGTAAAACTCTTCTTTAAACAGAAATGTGATGACGTCCCTTGTGATGCTACTGCTATCTAGTGGCCAAAAGCGCACCAGAAAACCTGAGACCCTGACACCCGGGGGCGCCAGAGACGTCCTCATTGCTGCTTTTGGTTTAACCTACGGCAACATGTTCTTCTAAATGACCTCTATAGCCATTGTATCAGTTATCCGTCATAACTTTACATTTATATTTATTTGAAATCGTTAAGTCTAAATGCTTTGATACATGACCGGCCGGATAGTACGTGGGTGAATGGGCAACAATTTCTTTGAATCTGGTGGTCTCAAGAACACAGTGGCCAGTTTGTGTAAAACACAATATCAAACTATTAGTTGTTAACAAAGTTATACAATTTTATAAAAACGTTTCATCATAGAATGGCATGAGGGGGTTGTTGTTGTTATTGTTTTGGCAAGAAGCTAAAAATACACCATATAAGTGCACCATATTTGAGTATAAAAATACATATTTTAAATACCAGCCTATATTTTAAAAGCATATCATATGATGATACAACTTTAATATTTTCAAAATCAAATAGTTTAGCAAACGCATTAAATTGACCGGAAAGAATGAACCACCTACCGGAAATTGCGTAGTAGGGTATATTTGGACGTGTGTACCAGCGTAAAGTTTAAAACCCGGTATTAGTGTGTCTGTCTCGTGTCAGCGTTACGGACGCTTTTTGATTATTGTAATTAGAAGAAACCCCTACCATCTCCCCCTTTGTGTACAAAAAGTGTTTTAGTTGGATTTAAAACTCAAAATGTCCTCCCGAGTGCCAACGCTCTTGGTCATCTGCAGTCAGAAGTGAGTCGTATTGGTTTGATTGTTGATGTATGCAGTATGTCAGTTGTTTCAAAGACATTAGGTCCAACTTCAGTCTGACCAATTACACAAATGATAACCCTTCCTTAAATTTAAGGCATGTGGAACTTATAATAAATTCATAATTATGAATTTACATGGTTTAAAATGTTTGTTACTAACGCGTGGATTATGCGTTGAACATGCGGAATTAGACAGATAGAAATTATTAGGTCTTTTTGTTATTTATGATCATTCATCACTACTGTCAGAATGATTAAACTTTGCCAGTATGTCATCAAGGTTGCCTGTAGTGATGCTTTAAATCCAGCAGATATCGCAGCGGGGACACCTCAACGGTTTCAACGTTTCGTCACCCACGAATCCTCATATTTATATTATATTTATATTTACATCCTCGAATTACGGCGCCACAGTGAAATAATGCCCATAGAATACGAGCATATCCTAATAGAAAGTAAAAACTCCAATGTAAGTATTTTAGATGTTTAAAAGCTACAAATGAACAATTTCTTTTATCAATAAAAATGAGATACCATGGCAAATTTATGATAATGAGCATTTAGGAAAATAACATGATCATTTGGTGATAAAAAAGTCACGATAAAACGCATAGATATTCAGTTCACTTCTCTGGAGTCACTGCAGCCTTTACTGTCAAAAAATGTATTTTTTGATGAACAGTAATATGAAAAGTTGTGGCAGTCTTGGAGACTTTACTCATGTAAGATGAACAACTTAAGTTCATTCCGTTTTGGGTTGGGTATAAGAGGAAAAGCCTGATGATCAGGTCTGTCTTGTTTTGTTGCTTAATTACGGGATGCATTTTTAAGACGAGTGCTATGACGTCAAAGAACAGGTGGACTAAGTAAAACAGACGGCCATCATTTGATGCTTTTGAAACACCTACATGGCTCTGTTACTGTCAATAGTCTGTTGAATGGTGCCGTAAAGTTGTTGGCTCTGACAACACGTCTGACCACACGTCAATATTTATGCAGTGTAGTGTGTATTCTTGAAAAATTGAAAAATTGTAACTGCAACAAAACCCATATTCCTTGTGGAAGAGAATCAGATGATTTTATGCTTTCCTGTGAACTTTCCAGAACAGTTAGATTAGAGTGTAAAAAAAAAAAATTAAAACAGAGATCAGCAGCTGAAGCATATGATCACGTGGAGGTGGAGAGCTAGAAATAGCACATGGGAGAGCCACTGAAAAGGGGAATGGCTGACATGCGTTAAGCCACATTTCAAGTCGAAGTGCCTCAGGGGGCCTACTCATGGCTTGGACTGGCCCTATTTGTTGGGTGTATGAGGAGAAGAGGATGTTGTCCAACACCAAGAGCACAGTCCCAAGCTTTTTTTAAACCTGTTGGAAAATTTGGATAATTACACGGAGCACAGAGAGAAACCAAGTTTTGTGAGTACCATTTAGTCGATTTTTAACAGCAGCATGAATGAAAACTGCTTAACAAAGTCGCAAGATGGTTTAAGGAGGCTTGTTTAGGAGTGTTTAAAAGTTTCTTATAAAATGATCACAATAGAAAATGTTCAGAATATCTTTAAATACATTCCATATTCTACATTTGTAAACGCTAAACATAAAAAAAACTATCGGCTGTTTAGAAAACTTCTACATTTACTCATATATGTTGGTGTTATACACATAATATATACACGAATACTCAAATCTGGCCATTACATTAGGTAAACCAGGTTGTTACAGCTGCTGATTTTACGATGAAAAATGGGGTTTGTCTGTGACAAGGCAGACTAGACTGAAGTAGCCTCGTCTGTCAGTGCTGTGCACAAACCAGATTTTCTGGACTAGTACTGTATATAACTTAGTCTTTTCCGTATAAAACATTAATTTTATTTGACTTTTTTCTCCTCCTTTTACTACTACATTTGTTGAAATCTGATGCAATCAGTGCACTTCATAGAAAAAGATGAGGGAGGTCAGAATCCTCTGTAAACACAGGCAACACGGTGGTCGGATGTGTTTTACCTTTACTTCCCCAAACATTCCCCAAACATTGTGATTGGACTGAAAGGTTGTGTTTCTTTTTTTGTTTTTAATGATTGGCTTTTTATTTATTATCCCATGTTTTATATACATTCTTAATTAATTAATTAATCTTATTTATTTGTGTGTTTTTGTTTTTAAAGATGCTTTGACAGTCCAATTCCAGGTTCTACACAGGTCTTGAACAGCTATGAGGTATTTTGGAGTTGCATTGCTTGCTTTGAAATAAAAAAAAATATTTTGTTTGAAAAACACTATATGTTAGGACTTCAAAAACAACAACACAGTGACCCTGAGCAGTCCGGTTATAATCTCTGGAACAAGGACCTAACTGCCAGCTGAGTATAAATTAAAGGTTTTGAGAGTCGGACCAAAGAACATTAATATGGGAAAAAACAAAGCAGACACTAAAGGCACCACCAAAATGAACATAACTGTTTACTGTTAAGGCCATTAACCTGAGCAGTAAACCTGTGTTTGGGGTATGCCAAAATATTCATATACCATATAGTGAACATAGGTGTTCCTGTCAGGTCTACATCCATAGACCTTTACCTTACACTGGATCACTTGCATGTGCCTATTTGCAAATTAATATATTTTTTTTTTAAATAATAACTGCAACCAAACTGGTCCTTCCAGCTGCTCTGTTCATAGGGCCAGGCGAATAAAGCACATCTGCTGCTTTCTTCTCTTTGTCACCCTAACCTTCATAATTTCAAGGTAAATGACATGGCACATCATTTGGATATTTATTTATTTTACAAGAGTTGTTGTTAGACAATGTTCATACAATCTAGTGCTGGTGATTATTACAGAGATTTGTCAAATACTGTCCATTATCCAGAGGACATTGAGGAAGAGCTGAGACATCTTGTGGATGTAGATTTCACACTAAACTTCAGGTAAGAGAGTTTTCAGATAGCACACACAAACTTAAGGTAATGAACTCAAACCTGCATTCAGCCAAAATGGTAAAATAAAATCCATAGGACTTACAAACTAACTAACGTATTATTATTTTTGAATATACTAATGTTAGCATGTTTTGGTGTAAGTTGTTAGTTCATATCTGGTTTGCAGGCAGGACAGCTAAGAATGCTCACTTTTTAGCTTGAAGGTCATGCCTTTACAGTGTAGCAGGACACTAAATCATAAACTGGCTCTTTTAATACCCAAACTTGGCACTGCTACCCCAAAATATTTATTTTGCTATAGTGACTACAAATTAATTTATTTACTGCCTAGTTTAGAAAAAGGGATTGTATTAAAACCATAACATATTGCCAAAAACAAAAAAATGTTGCGTGTTAATTTCAATCATGTTTTTATTCTTAGTGCCAGACCGGATGTTCGGACAAAAACTTCTTGGGATGCTCCTATCCTGTGGCAGGGAATGTTTAACCCTTCTATTTATGACACAATACACATTCAACTTGAGTCGTCTATAGCAGTCACTGTGTTCGCTGTTGGCAGGTTTGTGCCCCTTGGACGGTCCCTTATATGTGACTATATGACTTAAAAAAATGATTTATCATTTTCATTGATTTATTTCCTGTTTTGTTTTTTGTTTTGTTTTTTTACAGATACCTTGACGTCTACCTGGAAACCTTTCTTACCTCTGCAGAAAAATATTTCATGGTAGGATTACCTGTCACTTATTATGTGTTTACTGATTCACCAGAAAATGTATCAATCGTAGAGCTGGCTTCTCAGAGACATGTGAATGTTAAAAAAGTGGAAAAGCTCAGTAGGTGGCAGGACATCTCCATGATGCGTATGCAGACAATATCGAAGCTGATCGAAACAGAGATTCGTCACAGCTTCAGGTACGTCTTTGCCTTTGATGTAGATCAAGTGTTTAAAGCGAGGTTTGGCTCTGAGGCTCTGGGCCAGTCTGTGGCTTTGCTCCATTCCCACTTTTATAAGCTTCCAAAGTACAGGTTCACCTATGATAAAAACCTAGACTCGGTGGCGTTCATGGAAACAGGAGATTTTTATTACCATGCTGCTATCTTTGGAGGATTTTGGGAAAATGTGAAGAATTTAACAGACACCTGCCATCAGAGCATCATGGAGGACAAGAAAAATAATGTAGAGGCCAAGTGGCATGATGAAAGTCACTTGAACAAATACTTTTGGCTTCACAAACCAACCAAGCTGCTCTCTCCAGAGTATTGCTGGGACAAGAGACTTCATAACGAGAAAAGGCACATACGCATCAGCCGCCTGGTCTGGGCAGTGAAACAGTATGACTCCCTCCGTGATTTCAAGTGACCTACAGTATGAGTCTTCAACTCTGCAACTATGTGCACTCTTGGTTTTATTTATGTATTTAATACCCGGCCTTTCATAAAAAAAGGTCTTTTTGACATGTTTCGACATTTCATACAGCAACACAAAATAGAAAAGGTAGAATATATTTGTGTCATAAGAGGTGACTAAATTGAACTCATCTTTAGACTCCATATAACTGCAGTACACCTGTATACAGTGCTTTGGAGTTTCACAGAGGTCAGAAACAGTTGTTGGTATCTTTTTTCCTAAAGTATTCCTGTGATATATCCTTGAATAAACTTTTTTTATCTGTGTCATTTGTTAGTTTATGGTATAATGCTATGGCTATGGTTATTTGGATTTGTGCTTTTATTGCTTAAAGTGTTACATGATCCTTTATGGTTTTCATCTGAGATATGAAAGCTTGAGTAACCTTAATGATAATGTAGTTTTCTTACCTTTAGGCGTCTAACTTTAAATTCTAAGTTCTTGTTAGATGATCCAACAGGAAGACATCATTTTCAGTTTGCCAAGAAAGTATTAATTAGATATTTAATGATATAGTAATGAGATATTTATTTCAATCTCTGTATTCATATTATTAATGTCTCTTTATGACAAAACACATCTTCAATTAACAAGATTAGGCATTGCACAGTACAGTGCTTTATGAGAGTAGAGCCAATGTGTTGCTAACCATATCATGTGGTGAAAGAAATACAAGCAATTAAACCTGTGAGTTTTATTGGTTTGAGTCTCTCTATTGATTAGTACTAGGGTAACCAACACATTTACTTTAATCCTTGGCTAAATCTTTTGTTAGTCTACCCTGAAGTTCACTGATGCTGCTGTTACCCAACCTTTTTTGTACCAAGGACCGATCGGCCAGTATCAGCCATTACTGCAGACCGGTAATACCCCATCATCCTTGAAGGATCAATCATTTTTTCAAAATAAAACATCTTTTAGATTTCATTCTGTTGAGTCTGTATGACCTTTTGTTTTGAAACATTGCCAGATTATCTTGTAATAAAAAAGAAAAGAGATGTGATGATTCTTTTTTAATAAAGTAAATTAGTAAAAGCTGTCTTTTTGAATAAAGTAAATTAGTAAAAGCTTAAGTACATTTTTTCCACTATGTCCCGGTACCACATAACCTATGGACTGGCACCAGTCCCCAGACTGGGGGTTGGGGTGAAAAAAGATGAAATTATTCATTTTGCATTTCTGTTGAACGCCACTCATTTTTGCTAAAATGAAACACAGCCACCCATGGAGCATCCACATTCTGTTCTAAATGATTGGCCATGTTAAACAGAGGAAAAAATAGTTAAAAGAAAAGACAGTAAACAATAAATGAACTCAACAGACTCTTTATCATTAAAATAAAAGAGGAGATAAGAAGAACAGCAAACAATCCAATAATTATATGAACATTTTAAAAAGATACCACAGAGAGCGTTCTTTGTTCCTTGTGTTTAATTATTACATCAGACGTAGGTTTTTTAAACACACCCTAATAAACTAATGATAAGGTGTGAACACTATCATGCTCACAAGGAAATATGTGGTCATCGAACCTCAGAACAAGTGAGATTTGCTTATCAAGACCTGCCCTGTCCCAAAATCTTCTTCAAACACAATCCATAGATTAAAAAAATAAATAAAAAACACCATTGAAACCACAGAAAACCTAATTGTTATAAGCATTTTTTCTAGAATAAGGCAGTTTACTCACAGAGAGACGTACAACAGGACAGCTTTTGAGTTATCGGTACTTTTGTAATAACTGTACTTGGTTTTTCCGTAAAAAAAGAAACATGTACGAACCACTGTTCACAAGCTGAGTTGGGTTTAGTATCACACCTGTATGTTTTTACCCATGATTCAGGGAACATACCTGTCAAGATGTGATATATGTGACATAGTGAGTAAGAAGCGAGTCACTCCCCAGCAGCATTCAGCATTCCGTCCCTCAGGGGCCTTTCATACTGTAGGAAAATGTGCTCATTTCATCAGGTGCAGGGTGGAGAGGAAGGTGATTAACGCGACACAGTGTTGTGGCAGAGACAGAGTGAATGTTTTCTCACTGGCGCTCTTTCATATATCAATCCGAGCCATTTTGGGACATTATGCCAGGCAGGAATCCAACCATGGTCTGTGAGTACCGCGCTGTCTCTGCGATTTGGAAGGAAAACAATATATTTTATCTACTGTATAGTGAATGCTGCTTTACATACAAAACATGGCTAGTTCAATTTAACATCTGTCTTGTTATTTATTTGAAACCACAAATGACTTGTTTCAAGTATTCATTTCATGTTGTTGTTTCCAAACAGCTGTAATATATAACTTAACTCTTTAGTCTGACTTTGAGTGCTTTTCTTGTCCTTGCTTACCAAACAAACATGGCCTGTCAGGCAAACAACAATGAAGTGATGCTTCACGGTGAAACTGTGCAGTACGAAATATATTTAAATGCTTAGTTCTGAGGTCTTGTTGGAAAAAGGTATTCTGGGAAAATAGGCCTAGAATTCTGATTGACTGCTTAACTTTTGACACGTGGGAAAAGTGTTAAAACAGTTTTGACATGAATGAGGAAATTAGGTTACAGACACTTACTGACAGCCAAGTGGGTGAGGAGGGGGGTGGAGTGGAAGGAAAAGAAAAGGGGGGAAGTGGAATGTACTTAAGTCACAAGTAGTGTTATAGAGATGATTACAAGCTTAGGCTTAAAAAAAAAAAACACTGATCAGGTGCACATCAACACAAACACACACGTACATATGCTGACATCTGAAGACTAAGACTTTCCAGAATTCTTCCCATCTGACCTGTTCTGTTACTTCATGCACACCATCCCCGTCACAAGCATGCATATTAATGAGCCCGAACCAGTCAGTGCAGCTATTTGTGGCTCCCTTCCTCATACCCACTGGTACAGACAACATCAGACAAAGGCATCAAAATACACCTCATTTGCAAACATCCACTGGGGTCAGATAAAAGCATGGACAAAAATAAGCCTGTAGTCACGTGGTTGAAAACAACTCTCTGGCAGGAGAAGCTGTTGCTAAGCAGAGACAATTATTTACACGATTAAAGGATAGAATTACAATTACAGGCAAAGAGTTACAGCTCTATTGAAATGATCAATCAATTAAAAACATGTACTAACAAGCTGGATTTGTCATCATAAGAATAGGAAATATAGTCTACATCCACTTACTTACTAAACTTAACACTGGTTAATATTAAAATATGGCCTTAGCTCATTGACAGTTCAACATTGTGCAGCTTTTACACATGAACCCTTATCTAACTTTTTTTAATTTATTTCTGAGCTTAATAATAGAATGTGAGTGTATTTTATTGAAAATAAGTCTGAGTGTGTGTATAAATTAGTTCTACCAGTGTGTCTCAGAAAGAGTTGAAGAATCTGTTTCTGATCATCAGCACTTGTGATTTCCTAATAAAATGTTTACACTGTTTTTTTCTTCCTGCAACACTAACAAAGGCTAACTGTGTTTTGCCAGTGTTAGGAGATGGGAGGTGATGGATGGCGTCTGAGGGATGCAACCTCTGGCCCACAAGCACCTCACAGAAACGTGAAACAAATGTTCTGTGACAAAGTAAGAGCAGACAAAAGCATAAGAAAATGTTAGTTAGTTTAGTTAACTGGAGCAGTGTGTCATGTTTAATGTGTTTCACATTTGTACACAAAAAGGGCTTGTTAGCTTTGGTACATGGCATGACACATTTGCATTGTGTGTATTATACTAAATACTACTACCTTCACTTTGTCCAACGACTAATCAGTGCTTACAAGAGAGTGTGGAAGGCAGCTTCCTTTTTTTTCGATCTGACTGTATGGGTGTGTTATCTTAAGGCTGACGAGAGTCTATTGTTTTCGCTGTTTCATTTGACTGGGTGAGACAATTTCTTCTGTGTTTTGTTTTATTTATCTTTTTACCCAAAGCAACACATTATAGGTTGGTGGTTTTTGTAAACCGATAGATCTTTGAAATTCATAATGTATTTTTCAGCAGTTTCTGTTGTTGATTTTCTTTAGAATGCTGTTTTTCTGGTTGCATGTTGCAGTCGGTTTGGAGTTTTTTCTTTCTTCTATGTCTGTCCTACATTGTATTTCTTTTCTATTGTACCTTTTTTTTTTTTTTTTTTTTACATTTTTGTGTGAACTTTTGCTCCTGAGCATTTAAATTATGATGGGGTTTTTTCTACACATTTGCAGGAAGGGTGTCGATTAACACGATTATCATGGCATGAGTAGGTTTAAAAAATACCTTTTGATACAAACACACGTCACCTTGGCGTCTTTGATTTTTGGATGTACAAATATTAAAATGCTAAGTTATTGAAATACAGTGACGTGGACCAGTGCTAGCTGTCTTTGATCACTGTACCTTACTATTTCCAGACAATCATCTCTGTCACGAATCTACAAAATGAAAATGAGAGAATGCCAAAGGGCTATTAAGTTCATTTTAATTGCATTAACCCTTGCGTTACTGATAAGAGCCCAGCATCTACCTATAATTCAGTCAATTAGATTAATTGATACTTTTTTCTGCCACAGAACCTGTGCCTAATTATTACTTAGTTGCTGTACCGGTGTCTAATCCACTGTGGATCAGTATATTCTGTAGTCAATCACTAAACTTTACTTTCTTTTTTTTTTTTAGTTAACAGAAAGTAATATGCTCTGTATGGCTTTATTTTCTTTAAAGGTTCTGTTCTATGAAGCAATCCTCTGTTTTGGATTTGGTGTTTGGAAAATCAAGATCTGGTTTTTACAATGATGAGGTAATTATATTTTCATCAAAAATGAATTTCCTTTTCAGTCATTTCTTTTTTGTTTTCAGGTCTATATAACACACTAATATACTAAAATGTTGTGAATATTGTCTTGTCTTATCTAATTGTTTTTGGCTTCAAATTATTTCAGGGATATCTATCGCAACTTCAGAAGATATGGGAAATTGCATGGTCTTTTGATCTTCAGTTTGGGTTTAATCATCATATATTGGAGGTCAATTCCAACAGCCTCCTTTGGCCTCTTCATGATCATATCTGTATTAAAACCCAAAGCAATGTGTGGGCAAAGCTGCTTTAACATTTTTATGTGTTTTTTTTTTTTCTATTTTATGATGACCAATTCTAGGTATGAAATATACTTTTCTAATGAGAGGAAAAGAATAGAAACCACTAATGAGGAAGTGAGGAAACTCATCAACATAGACGTCACTCTGAATTATGCGTAAGAAATCTGTCTCTTTTTTTTATTTTATTGCCAAGCTGATCAGTGTTGTTACTATGGTGATGATATGACATATTGCAGCAGAAGGTTGAGAATATGAAGACATGCATGTATCATGTATTTTTTATTTTGACACACTGTTTATTGGGGGGTGGTTGTAGCTCTTTGTGTAATGCCTTACACCCAGAAGGTATATGCCCCTCCCAAGGAATTTGCCAAACCTATAGTGTAAAGTGCTTTGAGTGGTCGACATGACTAGAAAAGCATGCCTGCCTTACACATCTGCTTTACACACAGAAGGTCCCGGGTTCGAGCCCCAGAGGAACCATAAACTTAATGACATCTCCCCTGGCAACTTGTGTAGGTTTCAAAGAGTCTCACTGTGAATTTCCCCATTGTGGGGCAGATAAATATAGGACATCCAGTATATATGGAAAACTAACTGTTTACCCTTTACCAAAAGGACAGAAGTGTTTCATTTACAATATATTTAGAAAGGTTATTGTTTGCTTTCCCTAAATGCAACTGTGTAAGTACCTGGCTGTTTGCGAGCTCTTTTGTTTAAACATTGTATACATTGTATTTCAGAGCAAGACCAGATGTTCGAACAAAAACACCATGGGACGCTCCAATCATATGGGAAGGGATGTTTGACAAGCATATTTATGACCAAATGCATATACATCTCAAGACAAATGTGGCAGTTACAGTTTTTGCAGTGGGAGGGTAAGTGTGCAATTGTTAATGAATTAGTGACACCTAATGGTATGCAATGCTTACTGTAACAACAACAATAGAATGCCTAATAGAACTACGATGATGATGATGATGATTATTATTATTATTATTATTATTATTATTATTATTATTATTATTATTATTATTATATACTATCTTCTAATATTTTAATCACTTCTTTTTTTTTTTTTTACTATTTTTAAATAACAATTATTTGCTCTTTTTCTTTTCCAAAAGGTACTTGAATGTCTACCTCAAGACTTTCCTTACCAGTGCAGAGAAGTACTTTATGGTGGGATTACCAGTAACGTATTTTATATTTTCTGATTTACCAGACCAAATACCATACATAGAGCTTGGTCCTCAAAGAGAAATTAAAATTATCAAGGTGGAACGGCACTCTAGGTGGCAGGATGTCTCTATGATGCGTATGCAGACAATATCAACACTAATCGATTCAGAGATTCGTCACAACTTCAGATACATCTTCTGCCTTGACGTCGATCAGGAGTTTAAAGGAAGATTTGGCTCAGAGGCATTGGGAGAATCTGTAGCCATGTTTCATGCTCAGTTTTACAGGGCTCCAAAATCCAGGTACAATTATGAAAAAAACCCTAAATCCAAGGCATTCATGAAAACAGGAGATTTCTATTACCATGCAGCTGTCTTCGGGGGAACATGGGAAAATGTGAAGAATTTAACAGATACATGCTTTGAGAACATTGTGGCGGACAAAGTAAATAATGTGGAGGCTGTGTGGCATGATGAGAGTCACCTCAACAAATACTTCTACCTACACAAACCAACTAAGCTGCTCTCCCCTGAGTACTGCTGGAATGAAAAGTTTCCTGGAAAAGACATACGCATCGCACGCCTGGTGTGGTCCCCAAAATATCATACGTCACTGCGCACATAAGCAAAATTAACATTCAAGAAATATCCTTTCCCTAAATAAAATATTTCAGCTGGTCTTAGCTGTGACGTAGCAACAGAACTTGACATTTCCCTCACTCTCTGTCCTTCTCTCTCTCTCTCTCTCTCTCTCCGTTGCACTCTCTCCCTCTCTTTGTACCATAAATCTATCTGTATAATATTTATTTATCTATTTGTGTTATTTGTCTATTTGTTTTGTGATACTTATTGTTGTATATGTAGATGATATAAACGTATAAAATTGATCGAATGATCATAAACTTTGAAAGTTATTTATTTTAAAAGATAAAACGTTTTATGTTTTATGCAATTAACATCAGTAGAACAATTGGTAGTTATCCACCCCTCTCCCTTTAAAAAAGGAAACAGGGCAGTAAAATCTAGCAATATTTTCTTTATGAATTTTCAATTACTTCTCCAGGACCTTTATTGAATTTCCAAAACAACATTTTAATCATTTTTCACATGTTCATCATTACAGGTCTAAATATGAAATTACATTAAAGATGTCTGTGGGATTATTTAACCCAACAGGGGTGATGATTAAATAATTCTTGTACAGAACGTATCAGACAATTCTGGCTTTATTGCATTGCTTTATTTGTGGCTATTTAAGATCAGGACTGAGGTAGACAGCAAGTAAAGAATCATTTGGACAACGAACAAAAGCCTACCCAAACTAAAAATTAATTTGTCTGCTTAAAAAAAAAGCCAATCAGGATGCTCCATAGCTTTGCGTTTGCGCATGTGTTCGTTCGTTACAGGACGTAAGGTGCAAATACACAAGTGACCGAACAACTTTGGATACATTTTTGTAAAGGGGAACGTTGTCAATGGACATCGGGTTCAACTTCCGCCGGAACCCAGGCGGAACCTGTCCCGCTTTATGTTGTACTGCCCAGCATTTTGGTCCGAGTCACGGAAATTGGAGATCTTGTCACTCTTTTTTATTCGATATTACTTTATTGAAAACAAACTATTTTATCTGCCAGGCTGCCTATGGGCACGCCTGTCAGTGCTGTCCACAGCAATGATAGGCCACTTCACGGATAGTGAAGGCATAGTGGGATGTCAATCAAACAGCTAAGCCACAGTATTCGCACACACTTAAATCGGAAAGGGCGCAGTTGGTGTGACACTGTGAAGGCGGCTGTGTGATGTGTGGCGAAAAAAAGAAGATACCATTTTATAAAGATTGGATTTAGACCGGAGACCGGTGGATGGAGATTCTGAACCAGCATTCTGCAATTTGTGTGAAAGCAAATGCTGCTTTCACAGAAATGTTAGGCTAAGTATAGATTCAAGAAGGACAACAACAACTAAGGTGCAATTAATATTCTTTCTGTAAAATGTATTTACAAATATGTATTTATGGCCACTTAATTTTGTTATATCCTAGGTTTTAATATTTGGTTGGTTTTGTTACCAATGTTTTTTCAAAAACGTGCTATCCATGGTGCAGAGAAAGGCTGTCGGCCTGCCACCTGCTGGATTGTGATGCAAAATGTTTGGTGGTGGTCGGGTATTTTTTTTTTTTTTATCACAGATGGTCCATATACTGGCTTCTTTACATTGAAATTGTTAAATTTTACATCAGGTATAAGTGTATTTTATGTTGAATGTGGAATTAAGATAATGTATCAATAAATATGTTACATTTCAAAATGTGTGTTTTTTAACCTAAGCTCTAGCAACCTTGAGGTTGGCAATGTGCGAGATGAGAGAAAAGCCGTTGCATTGTGCAACGTGCATAAAATTTGCTGTGATTTAAAAAAAGACAGAAAATATCAGCATTAAGTCAAAGTATTATTACATTATAGTATATATACACACACACACATACTGTATGTGTGTGTGTGTGATCTGGGGCTTTGAAAGCTGAGGTTTCAGACCCCCTGAGATAATTGAAAGCCAATACAAGTATGAAATTACAACAAAGATTCATTCTAAATTAAGTTAAAGATTTTTAATATTTTTATTTATATTGTAATAATGCAGATACACTGAATTCTTATTTATTGTTTTTTTTTTAATACGTTGATGCAACATACGCTGTATTGCCAAAAGTACCTGCTCACCTGCCTTTCAGTGATCCAACGGAAATGTGTGAAATGTTTCTGTTTTGGAAATTCAATAAAGGTCCTGGAGAAGTAATTGAAAATTCATAAAGAAAATATTGCTAGAAAGGTGTACGAAACTGAACAAGGTCCAATAGCAAGCTTCTGACGCTAGAGGGTGCAGATTGTCCTGCAAATATATACCATTTGTCTGCATTACCACCCTTGAAAACTAACACCTGCTAGGAATTCCTGCCATCAGACTGTTATTTTCTATGGATCAGATGCATTGTTTTTACTTCTTAACTGTTATGTTCTTAAGTGTTGGCTAAAGGATTTGTGCCTGTTAACAGAAGAAGTGAAACTAACAACTCGTGTTATTCTGGTATTATGATGTGGGTTTGGAAGGTGTGGTGTCACCAAACGAGTTAGGTCAGCTGTGCATGAACTTGTATAGAAGTTCTGTCGCTCTCTATTTTCTTTGCCCATTCTCAACAAGGAGTGTAGCATGTGGCAGAAAAAAAATAATTCTTACTTGTTACTTTGCTTCATTACATTCTCCAACTTCATTTGCAGTTGAGCTTGAAGAAGTACACAACACACACCGTTCTCTCACAGAAGACTGGTTTCTTGATGTCTAAATATGATGTTAGTGACATTCTATGGTCAAAAACCAAAGGAGTGAGAACAGCTGGATTTACCTACCTGTTGAAAAGTCCTGTTCCTCTACCACTACTTTATGACATTACTTATGTGTTACTACCGTAATATGTTTAGGTGTAAAAATCGCTGATGTTATGACAAAAGTTGTACTGCCTCACTGGGTGTCACCACTGTGTTGTTACAGATGAAAACCCACTTTGATTGTTAATAATAATAATAATAATAATATTGTTTGCTAATGGCAGATCCTTGTGCTGGTAGAATGGCCTGAGTCACACTGTGTGAGGGTTGTAATTAATACATTCACTAATCAAATACTTACAACTCATTTTGAGTAACCAGACACAGTCAGTTTTGTATAATATGTCCCCTAGTGTTGAGCCTATTAATCTAACATTTTCATGTTCATGTTTCCATCATAGTCAGAGAGATACATACGGTTAATTTGATAAATTGATAATTGGTGCAGGCTCAAAAATCAGAAGAATATCTTTTGTTTTTGGTTTCCTCTTGTGTAATTGTCACAATTAGTGTGTGAAGACAATTTTCATTGACTTGGAATTTGACTTTGATCAGATATGGTAGTATGAGTATATTATTTATGATCTTAGAAATTGCAGATTAAAGTGAAGTTAATTGAAATTACTGTTATATAGGAGAAGGAGAGCCAAACACTTCAATGTGTCTTTTCAAAGAAGTTCTATGGAACCACACTAAAGGTGTGGTTCCATTGTTTAGTGGTTATCATGCCTGCCTTACACATCTGCCTCACATGCAGAAGGTCCAGGGTATGAACCCTAGAGAAAGAACATTCTTAATGGCACCTCCTGTGGCAGCCTGTGTGGGTTGCTCTCTGCACCACCTTCTGCAAGCGCATTTCAATGACAATGTTTTATGATATTTTGACATTTAAAGTTACATGCCGTGAGCTTAGGGTCCTATGTCAATGTATTTTTGGGTCGTTAGATATTATTACATTATTCATTTCACTGTTGATATAAAGTTGTATCTGCAGGTGATTTGGTTTACAGTTTTTCAGTTGTGTCTAAAGAGAGGACAAGCCTTGGGTCGATTTGTCATCGTGACCCTTTCACACATCCACAGACTGTTATACTGTTGTTATGTGTGTCACAGTGATGTTGATGTGTAGATGACACAATTAAAGAACACCCACAGAGACTTTGTCTCTCATCAATGTTAGTTGTGTCATGTATTCTCATTGTCTTTTTTTACATGAACTGTAACTCCAGACATTGATGAAGTCAAACCTGTTGTAATAAGTGTAACATTCCCCGCTTTTTTGTATGTGTGTGTATATATGCACAGTATTTTAATATATGTGTGTATAAGTACTGCTAAATTAAGCAAGAGTTTAAAAATGCCATTTAAAACGTGAAGCCTCAAAACATGGCATCATGTTTCTACAGTAGTTATTGTTGACAAACAGGGAACAATTTCTACACATCATAACCAATAGCTACACCATATGCATTAATTCATGCCGAGAGGCGTTCAGACAGATTTGATGTATTATTTCTCCCCACTCACCCCTCAAGGATCAAAATGAAATGTACATGTTTTTTAGCAGCAGGAAAGTTCAAGACCCACTTCTGCTCTGAGACATATTTCCTTTGGTATTATATGTGGTATACTTTGACTAAATATATATTTGATATTGTTGCTTACAGTGATACCTGTCAATAACCTTTTCTACATGTTTGCTGAAAACACTGAATAATTGCAACTGAAGATAAAAGGTGTAGATTTGGATTCGACGGATCCTCAGTCACACACACCTGCCCAATTAAAGAGCCAGGGAACAGCCACTCATTACCTTCTAACACTCATTTCATTTCGATCGGACGTCAGTGCCTGCATTCAGAGAGAAAAGGCGTGGCGCAGGGTCAGAGACATATTACCGTGTACCTCAACCTCCAGTTCTGCTGCACCTCTGTGTAGAATGATACATTTCTTCACGTCAGAACTCAGTTCCAGTGATTCCTGTATCAACCATTATTACTTGTGTGCCACTATATTTACAAACTGTACGGCTTAGCTGTTATTAACATGGAAGCCCAGCTGGGTGTGGGCATGTTAAGACACTCTGTACTTTAAATTAAAATCTGTGATTATTCAAAAGCAGGCAAAACCTGATTTTAATTGTCATATTAAGTCCAAGCCATCACACCCTTTTCTCTCAGTCTCTTGTGTGGGACTTCAAACATCCCTGACCTTTTTTTCATGACCAATTTGGTGTTTGGTGTTAAGTCTAAACAGCTTACAGCTACATTATAAGTAAACAAGCCTAATGTTCTCTCATAGTGTTTCTTGAAGTAGTAGTAGTAGTTGCATACTTTAGTTATGAAGATCACCTAGCACACATACAAGGATATTTGGAATAAATGTGAGTTAGTTCAAGGACATTAACCCAAAACCTGTCTGTTATTATTTTTATTATTCTTTTTTCCTTTTTTTATTATTTCTAATATAAATAAACATGGAGGAAAAATATATACCACAAAAAACTTATTCTCAAAACATTTTGGTTAATACCTAGGGAACCTCAGGAGGGATTTCTCAAGATTTAGGTGCCTTCCCACAAGCCTGCAGGTAAAACTTCATCTTGAAACAGGATCAGGGGACTAGGGCCTGCATTCTTTAACTGCATTGTCTAACACACCACTCAAGTTGTTGAAGTCACATTTCACTTGGCCGGTTATCAGCCCAGGCTGACTAAAAACATGTTGTTCTACCAGCCAGCAAGAAGTGTCCGTGAGAAGGGAGCGTCATTTTTTTAATTTGAGCTGTGACAGTAAAACAAAGGACACAAACAACTGGGCAAAGGAGAAAAAGTGAGGACACAAACAACTGGGCAAAGGAGAATAATTTAGGAGAATCTAATTTACTGTTCCAAGGGTAAGTGGATGAAAAGTTGTGATTAATAGTTATTCTGTGGAAGTATTTGAGATTATTTGATTGATTGGTGATATTTGTTATTTGGATTATGTAATTGCTTTGATGTTGGTTTTGTCATAACAGTGTGAGAGATGTCCTAGTTCCATGTAACAGACTACGATTACCATGTTCTTCAGGTATTTAAAGGTTTTATTTCTACACCTTGAATTTAAACAATACAATCGCCTCTCTTCGCCACTGCTGTCAGTCCCCTCTCGTCTCATCTTCTGTCGTCTCTTCTCCTTTCCTGTCCTCTCTCCTCCCCTCTCCACCCCAATCCTCTTCACTGCACTCCTCTCCACTCCTCTTCAGGTCACTCATCTTCTCTTCTCTGCTTTGTACGGCTAACCCGCCCCTTCCCTCCTCTATGTCTCTCTTCTCACCTTTTCATACAAACTTAATAAAGTACCTATTACATTGAAGAACAAACGAGGACCCAGTCAAACCAGGAAGCTTTTACACCTAGACACATGCACAAATAAACACACCTTTGTTGTTGGTTAGGTTAGTTAATCTTTCGCTCTCTTGCTGTTATTCTCTCTCACAGATGTTCTAAGACCTTCACCTCACTCACCTTTCTTTGCTGGTAAATTAAAGATTGATTTCCACAGAAATGAGGTAACTGATCTGAGCACACACGTTTGTTAGAACAGCTGCTACTACTGCCATTAATAAACTAATATAAACTATATGGTGCAGTCTAAGTGATGCTCTGGTGCATAGGTATGGCATGTTAAGCATTCAATTCCAAATCTCAAATGTCTCCCTTGGCGATTATTTACATGATAAAGACTGGTGTCAATCCAACTGTTTCATTACATTACAACAAATCAACTGTTATGTCTACTAATGCCACTACATGGCGGCAGACATCAAATGTGCCAAATTACCTTTGAAAGGCGACAGTTATTCTTGTACATTTTATTCAAATTATTTTGCTTGGCCTTCTGAAGCCAACCAATACTGAAGCTGTCCACCAGTCATTTTGATCCTCATTTTGCCCTGAACACTAGCAGAGGTAACACTGACATAAACATTTATCTATTAAATAAAATTAATTTCTGAATCACAATTAACTCCACCACACATTGGGTTACAGGGGGAGTTAGCTTCCCCCTATTTTTTTCTTAAAACCACCCCTATTAGTAAAAGAACTAACTTTTGTTTGTTTTTTTTCCTTCACATCGTGGCAGTGGACTCATGCGTAAAACAAAGACTATGGGAAGATTCTTCTTCCTTCTGTTCTTTCTTGTCAGCTTACACTTCATATATGCCAGGTCAGTGCCAAGGACACTACAGAAGGTTTCCAGTAGTATTTTGTAAATCAGTCTGTACAGTATATGACAATACTTTTGTTTTAAGCTTGTTAAAGGTTTTTCTTCTTCTTCTTCTTTTTCTCACACTTGTGGCCAGTTTTAGGTATTTATCCCACTTTGCACATATGGGATACTGGCCCAAAGACAATGGAGAAGACATGAGACATCTTGTAAACATAGACATTACACTAAAATATGGGTAAGAGCCGGGTTCTTGAGTTAAGTGTTATAAATTAAAAACTGCTTCAAACTTGGTATAGGTCAAGAAGTCTAGAAGAATTACTAAGAATTAAAAAAAAACTCATCAAACTTTTGTCACAGTGAAACATCGTCTCTCTGCTAGTTTCTCAACATCTTGACTTCAGCCTGACTTGGGGCAGTGGTGGCATAGTGGTTAAACTTAAACTTAGGACCCAAGTCCTAAGGAAGAGGACTTGGGTCTGAAAGATTTTGGGTTTGAGTCCACCAGTTTGCCACTGAGGTGGTTCAAGGCTAGCACCATCCCCACACACTGCTCCCTGGACAGCTTAAAGCTGCTGATGAGTTAAAAGCAGAGGGCACATTTTGTTTAGTAAGGGTGCATGAGTACCATAGAAATGTATGGGGCTGGCCAACCAGTTAGTCAATGTATTGAGTTCCTTGTGTTTCACTGTGCCTTATTTTTAACAGGTGTGTTGTTAAGAAGACAATAATACCATAACACTTTTTTGATTTATTGTATTTAAGTAAATAAATTACTGTAGAGAACTAAAAAGTAGCCTGAATGCAAAAGATTATTGAATAAATTGAACTTAAACCTGTGACAACACTGTGTTGTTTCAAGACAGTGTATAAAAAAGTATTTTTCTAAACCAAGTATAATTTAATTTTTTTACTGTATGATTTTAAATCACTACCTTTGTTAACAATTTCTTCTGAATCAAATTTCAGGGCGAGGGGAGATGTACGGACAATAACGCCATGGAAAGCTCCAATCATATGGGAGGGGATGTTTGACCAGCATATTTATGACCAAATGCATATTCATCTGAAATCGACGGTGGCAGTCACTGTGTTTGCTGTAGGCAGGTATGTTCAACCTCTGCACAGTTACTGTCAAAGAGTTCATGCCTCAGTGTACATTTTAGACCATTCACCATTCTTGTTTGTTTATCTGACCTAACCAGTTCTGACTGTGCTTGTTTAAAAATTCATATTTTATATACCACATTGGTGTGTTTTTTGTTTTGTTTTTTTGTTTTTTTGTCAAACAAAAATCAAATCAAGAGCAACTGGACAGTTTCAGTTTCGTAAGGACATTCCACTTCTTCATCCAAGAGGCTTCTTCAGTTCCAACTGCTGGGGAAATTCTGGTATTTAACCTCAGAGAGGCTGAAAACCTGTATTCCAAAGAGAAGATTAATCACAACATTCCTCTCTTTGGAATTGGGTATGGTCGCCTCCTCAATTTACTACAACGAACCTCGTTTCAGCCTCTCTTTGATGAAGAGTTGAAATGTCTTCAAAAAACCAAACCAAACCAGTCCAGTTGCCTTTGATGTAACTGCTTTGCATATGAACTAGTACATATTTTCAACATTTGCACACTTCAAATACTTTTCTTTTTTCTTTTTTTAAAAAGGGGGCGGGGGCTAAAATAAACTCAAATTATTCTTATTCTTTTGTTTTAATTTTTTCTGATCTCTGTTATGCCAGATATTTATTTATCTATGTAAACATATTGATGACCCTTGGAGACATTGTTGAATATATTTTGATTCCTTTCACTCTCTTCTACAGGTACCTGGATGTTTATCTCCGGAAATTTCTTACATCTGCAGAAGAGTATTTCATGGTGGCATTACCAGTAAAATACTACATATTTACAGACACACCAGAGAAGGTACCAGACATTGAGCTAGCCCCTCAGCGAAGCCTGAAGGTGATCCAGGTGGAGAAGCACTCTCGGTGGCAGGACATCTCTATGATGCGTATGCAGTCAATATCAGAAATCATAGAATCAGAGATTCGACACAATTACCGATATGTCTTCTGTCTTGATGTGGATCAGGAGTTTAAAGGAAGATTCGGCTCAGAGGCTCTGGGGGATTCTGTGGCTATGCTCCACGCCCTGTATTACAAACGTCCAAAACACAAATACACCTATGACAAAAACCCCAAATCCAGGGCATACATGAAAACAGGAGATTACTATTACCATGCAGCTGTCTTTGGGGGAACATGGGAAAATGTAAAAAATTTAACAGATGCATGCTTTGAGAACATCTTGGCGGACAAATTGAACAACGTGGAGGCCTTGTGGCATGACGAGAGTCACCTCAACAAATACTTCTACCTACACAAACCAACCAAGCTGCTCTCCCCTGAGTACTGCTGGTACGAGAAACTTTCAGATAAGAACATCCGCATTACACGCTTGGTGTGGGCAACAAAGTATTATAACTCACTTCGTGAACCCTAGATTTGCCGTCCAGCAATGTTGCATGAAATTTTACTTTATGTACCGTATGCCCCATTCATGAAAATGTCGGGTTTTGAGGATAGACAAGGCCTCAAGTCATTTGTTGGCTATTATAGAAGAACAAATGTCAAAAAAAAAAAAAAAAAACGCTGGATACAAGCTCAAACAGTGGATATCGGTACAATTTTCTGTCTTTGATACTTAAAACATGCTCACACAAAGGAGTCAACTGGTTTATTCACACGTCATTGAATCAACAATACATTGTAGAGAAAGTTGCATCAGCAAAAGAATAAAACTGTGCACACACACACACACCCAGAGAGAGAGAGAGAGAGAGAATAAAATCCTTAGAATTATTAGTTATGTCTTATAATAACGCTATACATTTTTCTTCTAAGAAAAAGTTCCTCTGGAGCTAACATTTACAAATTTAAAAAATGTGTTTTTTAAACTTTAATTTTTTTTGAATACTTAATAATACTGCTCCTATACTTTAATATGAATTAATGCTGGATAGTATTTGATTTGAAAAGGTTTTGTGTTTATGTTGATAAATCACAAACATTTTAATACCCTGATTTATACAAATTATGACATAGGAGAACTTTTGCTTCTTCCGGTCTTATTTGCCATATTGGTGATTTTTCATGTGAATACAATTAATCTATCATTAAATGTGAGCTAAAGACCCAGTAATTCAGTTCATTAATTTATTTTTATTATTATTTTTATTTTATTTTATGGTCTGCATTGTCATTGTACCACGGGGATACAACGAAACTGAGCCTCTGCTTTTAACCCATCACCAAGGTGAGTAGTGGGCAGCTTTACGCTCCTGGGGAGCAGTGTGTGGGGACGGTGCCATGCTCAGAGCACCTCAGCAGAACTCCTTAAAGAACTTTGATGTTCATCTCTACAGAATGGGGCTTGGCAGAGGAAAGAGGTTAAGGAAAAAACAAACCTTAATTAGAAAACTTTATAAAAGCGGTTCCTTATGTTTCTTTAATTTGTTGATTAATTATTATAAGTAATTTCTGTTTCTGTTTTCTTTACAAACCTGTGATATTATTGTACTACAAAGAGGAGTCTAACTCCTCTTTGTAGTATAATAATATTTTATTCAAATCAACATCGCTCCCTTGCTAAAAATATACAGCAGACGTCACTATCCGATCCGGAGAGAATGATTATTCCGGACCTGTGACCAATCTCTGACGAATTTACGAGATTAGATGATTTTAATGAACCGGTTTTTCAGACGTTCGCGGCTATAGACTGCGGGCGCTGCTATTCTAGTAAATACGACAACAGCGTCACTGAGTTAAGCCAATCAAATCATTTGTTTACCCTGCATCGCCGACGCAGCGGAAGACGCTGTGGTGACACAAAGGCTTGCTCTAAAAAAGGTAAACGTGGTTGTTTTAAATGTGAATGGACGGAGAAATGTATATTCGTTCTTTAGTAGTTCAGAGCGTGTGCCTCACATGATCCGAAAACGGTGCATTAATTAACTGTGGCAGCGTAAAGTGCCAATACGAAACAAAGTACAATACCTTTGAGCAAAGTTAGCCCTCTCGTCACGCATACATTTAAAAACAAATGTTCACCGACGGTCCCCCCCAAAATAAAATTTTTTGGGGGATGGGACAGATTTGAAGGATTGCTTAAACTCTGATGCTGAGACGTTGTTTGAGGAAAAAATAAAAGACGACATTATTTTAAAAAAAGCAATTAAATTACTTGCAGGTCAGCCAAATGTCTAGTTCTCTCATTAATAAAAGTTAAAAAAAGGAATATTTAAAAGAGAAAATGGTGTTGAAACCTTTGTTTGTATTTTTTCTAAAAAATAAATAAACATTTTTTTAAAAGTTCTGAAGATGTTGACTTTTACTTGGAAAGTAGGCCATTAATTCTTTAGGCTGGGACTCTTAATTTAATTCTATTGAAAGTTATTTGGCGCTGTTTGCACTTTTATTTATTTTATTCTGAGGTGTTCTTTTTTTAATGAAAAATCCTTAAATGTATTTGCATGAGAGTGCTTTTTGTTTATGATAAAGATCTAGCAATGAACTCAGTCAAACATTTACTGCATTGAAAATTGACAAAAGGTACTGTTGAAACTATGAAATATTGTTGAAATATCAAAATGTGGACATAGAGTAGAGCTATAAGAGACAAGATAGACTTCGGTTCCGAGCTTTTACTTGGAAGAAATTTTAATAGCTAGATCTCAGTGACTTTTAAATGAATACCCCTGATTTATAGTTTAAGTTATCACTGATATCATAATCAAATTAGTCTTCCTAAAAACACCGGAGGGCGCAGTTCTGCATAACCAGCAATGCTTCATTTACACTTACACTCAGTTTTATTAAACAAAACTCCCTTCTTGTTAGCAAAAGTAGATATATTCAGACCTTTACACCATTATTAGATCTTAATGAAGCTACTGTTCATCGGTTAATACCTTCTTACACAGTGTGCTTAGTCAGTGTTATTAAAAGAAACAGGACCGGGGTTGGTATACAATCCTGAGAGCAACCACCGCCTCTTTTGAATTAAGAGTTCTTTTATAATATGACCAGTAATTTATGTAATGGAACATGATACATGCACCATAGAGGCTGTTCACTTGTCATGATGACGTCTGAAGGATGCTTCACGGCTTTGTGTGAAAAGGGTGGAGAGAAGAGTTGCACAGGATTGGCTGGTCTTACTTGTTCATCTACCTCGTGTGCATATGTTTGTGTGTCAGATGGTGTGGAGTTGCAGAACTGGTTGGGTGGATGTTGCCACAGTGGTGCAGCTCAGGTCAGGTTTGTATAACCTCCAACATTTTATTGAGGCTATGCAGTGGTGCTGAACTCCTGCAGAGCCAGTAGTGCAATGTCACCAATCAAAGCACTTCAAAATCAAAATATTTTTGATCCGAATGTCTCACTGTAATTAAACCCTTATGGAAGTCTCACCATCGTAGAGAATAAAGAAGATAGATAGATAATAGAAGATAATGTTTTCCCACAGTATTACACTTACAGTAGAGCTGGCTAATGCTACTGCCTATGATTTGAAATTAAACATTGTCTCACTTCTAAAATTATTATTCACATTCTGCATCCCACAAATTTACCACAACAATCAAGAGCAGGTTTTAGGCACATGTACAATGATTGTGATTTATTAAATATATATTAAATATGTTAATATTGCAACAACTTTAGCTGGAGCTTTGGCAACTAAATGTTAGTAGACAAAAAGAAACAAAATATCATTTTATGTCATCGCTCAGTGTCAGTGTAACAATACTTGATGTGTATCATATCACTTTTGATGTCATTACAGGGGTCTGGTTTTTCACTTTGTGTCAGTGGTTTCAAACTCCCAGCCTCCTGGTTACTTTCAGCCCACAAATGGCTAGATTTGTTGTACTGACAGTTGAACGCTCCAATGAAATTGTGGTGGCAGCGTTGGTACCCTGATTATTAGAGTTCGAAACCCTTGCTTTATGTGAAACTTTGAATTCTTGGCAAAATGTCTGTGAATGTTTCCCACTGTGAATAGTCTTGTTGGAAACTTCTGGATGGGGATGTAACAATGGTATTGTGAAAACAGTGACTTGATTCAGATATTTGAGTGAATGTGAGATCATGTCTGTCGGTTCTCAATCATCCAAGCCATTTACCCAAAGCAAGACAACCAAGACAGTCCAGCCCAGAACCCCACTTAACTGCTTTGTTTCGTTGTATCCATGTGTTACAATGACAATAAAGACCATAAATAAATAAAATAAAGGTTACATCATAATATAATGATATTTTAGTTCCTGTTAATGTTTAGGAAATCTGTGGAGTTTCTGGTGGTAGTTTGTGTAACACTGCAGACAATTTTGCAATTGTTACTCTTTTTGTTGGCTTCCTTTAAAAGCGAAATTCAAGAAGTCCAAGTCTGCTTGGAGCTGACAACAAGCCCAGAGGAATGAAACTGGATCCAGATGAAACCAGTGTATTATATTAGGTAACCTTTCCTTCTTTATAAACAGTTGACACTAGAAGCAACAGAAACTGGCACATCTCAAAACACTCTCCTCCTTCAGACGCAGCTTTTACACCAGAATTAGCTGCATAAGAAAGTAGAGCAACATCAGTGTTTCTGAGAAATAACTCAATCGAATACTTAAATGTACATGTTTTGGTTTGGATAATGAAAGTGAAGAGTGAATTGCTGTGCTGGACAATAAAAGCTTAATTCTGTACAGTACTGTACTACAGGTATAAACCTGTCACTCTTTTATATATGATTTGCAAACACTAAAAATCGAAAATTAATTAATCAATAATTCAATCAAATAATTAAAAACTTTGTATTTGATGATTTTAGATTGAGAGATTTTCTGTTTTCTCCTATATTTTTTGTATTTTTCTTCTGTCTATCTGCAGAGTGTGTACAGATCATATACAGTCACAACCCTGTGTTCTGGTCTGTTGTGGCAGCACCATTTAACTGTAGTGGCCCTGACTCTAGCTGAGGTTAGCTCAGGTTTCTGTTGTCACAGCAACATCTTAGATCGCTGGATGGATGAATGGATGAATTGAAAGATAGATAGATGAACTTTCCTGAGTATTCACTCATGGCCCACACTGCATCATTTTTATGATGTGACAATGGGAATTGAAGGTAATGTTGCTAAGAGTTGCCACCCGTTGTGTGTTAAAGAACTATTGTGAAAATTGATTTGTAAAAGAACTCTGACTTTCTCTTTGAGCACTGTAAAAAAGGGTGGGGAGGTAAAAGAAAAAGAACATACACACACGCCCATGACAAATCTGTTGTGTGTGCCAGAGATTCTTCCAGAGATGTTCACAGCACTTCCTTTGACACCCATCTAAAGGTTTTCAATGGGGTGTATTACTTAACTTTCCATGCATGGTAAAGGTTGGTCATATCTCTTCATCCACACTGCAGAGGTGAGTCTCTCTTCAACTGTGTTGTTTCAGTTCTGAAATATTTAGTGCACAGAGTATATGTTTGTTTGTATACCACCTTTATTTTCATTTGAATAAGGTCTGAACTGTAATAGGCTACAGTCACACTGTTTACATGTCAATACTAACACGGGGAAGACACAACTGTGGACAATGAAATACAATTTACATATTTATTAGTTACTTATCGATTTTCTTAGTCAGTATTAAATTAGAAGGAAGAATGTTTGTTGAGTCTCAATCTCAGTAAACTAAAAAAAATTATATATTTGTATATATATATATATATGGGCAGTGGTGGCTTAGCGGACTTGGGTCTCTAAGGTTTCAGGTTCGAGTCCACCAGCTGCCAAGTTACCACTGAGGTGCTCTGAGCATGGCACCGTCCCCACACACTGGTCCCCTGGGTGCTTAAAGCTGCCCACTGCTCCCTGGTAATGAAAAATTACTGGTAAAAAGATTAAAGCTGCCCACTGTTCACTTTGGTGATGGGTTAAAAGCAGAGGTCACATTTGGTTGTGTGCAGTGGTGTGCACTGACACTTTAGTTCACGTTCCTTCCTTCTTTTAGTATTAATTCAGGTACAACTAACAACTAACAACCTTCTAGGTGATAATGTGTGAAATTGTATTTGTGTATTTGAGTTAAATAACTAAGCTTGAGGGATACACAGCACTAAGCTAATGTATGTTTTTTTTGAATGGCACCGATTCCATGGCTTAGCTCTGACAATAAATTTGACAGAATAATCCTAAATCCTCTAACAGCGTACACAGTGACAGTATTGTGTCACTTCATGGGAACATGACGCCAACCCTTTTGAATGAGAGTGATGTGGATTGGAACTTAAGACGTAGGTGTTTTTACTCATCTGACTTGTTCTGTGACTCACGACTAAAAACTGAAAAAAAAAAAAAGCAGAATCAAAAGCACCATAACAAGTTAGACACGTTAATCGTGTTATCACTTTTCTTTACACTCACACACACAGCAAACAGCAGCCAACACACACACACACAATTGTGCATCCTTTTGGCAACCGGACCTGGTACATTGTCAAGTAAAACTATTTGTGAGAAAATGTTTTATTAATGCATATTT